AAAAAGACTTTTTTAAACCTAAATGAATCCCACATTTTTCCCTTTGTTTTCAAATTCTTTTTTTATGTTCTCTATCTCTATTTTCTTTTCTTATCTCCCTCTTCACAGTAGTAGAAGAGTTGAATTTGGTGGTGAGGTGAAGATTATTTCTTATGTTTTTTTTTTTAGAGAAACACAACAAGAAGGACGATTCTTTCTTGCAAATCGTGACCAAGAAGGACGATTCCTTCTTGCAAACTCAAGTTAGGCTTCACAGATTTTTAATTTTGTTTCGCTGTTGTGTTTTTTGTGTGTGGGTATTTTGTATGATTGTATATGTTTGGAGCTTTTTTTATTTTTAATAAAAGTCTTGTTATTAGTTGTTGAGTATATTTGAATTTGTTTTATTAATTGGGTATTAGACTATTAGACATAATGAATGTGAACCATGTTTTATTTTGTTTCTCTGTTTTGATGTGTTTTGTATCTTTGTATGATTTTATCTATATTTGGTTTTTTATTTTTAATAAAAGTCTTGTTTCTCTGTCTTGAAATATTGAGAATTAATTCTTATTTTAATTGCCGTGTCCTAGCCGTGTCCGTGTCCTACTTTTTTGAGATTTTCCGTATCACCGTGTCACCGTGTCGCGTTCCCGTGTCCCCGTATCCGTGTCCATGCAACATAGGTTGGTACTTCCCCCCATGTTGGTCGAATTGGTTTGCCAAACAACTTTCCTCGTTACTACTACGGATCGTTGGCTCTCTAGCTTGATGACCATGCCAGGTTTGTCAAAACAGGGCAGTGATTGGACAATGTCACTGGTTTCTGTGGGAATGAATCATTCTTAATCCCCACCATGGCCACCATGGTGGGAGAAAAATATTGTACTAGGCTTTGGAATTGACTGTAGTTTATTTTTCTCTGTTTTGGTTTTGCTGATGTAGGTGCTTTGCATCTTTCTCGTTTGCACTTCGAATGAATTTCAAGAATGATTACGACCAAAAAAAACATCTACAATGCCAGCAAGATATTTCCCAGATAAAAAGAAGATACCTTTTTCCAACTCAGTTTTTATATAAATAATTTAATGTCTACAATACCCGACCAGAATCCGTAATTTGTCCCAGTCGATTAAAAAACACAAGTGGCCAAATCGCAATAGGAATTTAAATATTGTCCTCTCCTTGTCCTTACTGATAGAAATACAATACACAAATTAAATCAAATAATTGATACAGAATACTAGAAATCAAATAATTGATGGACCACAGCACTACTTATTATTTTGTACATTATTGCTTGTGCTGTGTGTCGGCACTCGGCATGGCCACCACGACATTGTAATTGTCATACGACTTAACCCTTTTTTTAATTATATTTTTTTTTCTTTCGATAAAAGCTTTTCATTTGTGCGTTCAACATGGTGTTCTAATGTTATAGATTTTCACATTATTCCAATTTTTTAATAAAAATATAGAAGCACGAGTAAAGATAAATATTCTTAATCACTCGAGTTATAAATATCTTGCGTATTCTATTTTCAAGTTGAAGCAATAACTTTTTCTATGTATATTCTATAAGAAGTTTTATTTTATTGATTTAGAATTTAGTTGACGTAGCGTAACTGTGGATTGGCATATCCAGCAAAGTTTCATATTCCATGACGTGAATTTTGTACTTTTGGAATTGTTGTCAAATAAAGGAAGAATCATTTCATAAGTTTCCTCTAATTTTATTTTTTCCGTTGTAGGGTTGATAATTAATGTCGATAATTCCAAATTAATTTTGTCCGTAGTTGGCTTAGCATTACAAGTAAGATTTTAAAAAAGAAACCCAAAACCTAAAACCCATTTCAAAATTCAAAATTTGTTTTTTTGTAAAAAGAGAAAATTCATCTTTCATCTTATGAAATGTGTGTGGGAAATTACAAAATTTTGGAACCAACAAGTGTCAAGGAGCGAGATTGAAATTTCATAAACCCTAGGGATACGTGCAGCCTCCTCCTGCCGCCACCCACCAGGCGCCATTGATGATCTTCCCTCCATTTCTATCCACAATTTAAATCTGAGTCTTTCCCTCTCTTTATACTCTGTCACTGGCTCATCGCATTTAATTCCTATGAAGCTCTGATGGAGAAGAAAGACGATCGCTTCTTTAAAACCCTCATTCTCTCCCCTTTCCGTTACACCAAGACCCGCCACATCCGCATCGCCGATATTCTCGTTGATGAAGAAGAGGGATCCGAAACCGACGGCAAAAAGACTTTTTTAAACCTAAATGAATCCCACATTTTTCCCTTTGTTTTCAAATTCTTTTTTTATGTTCTCTATCTCTATTTTCTTTTCTTATCTCCCTCTTCACAGTAGTAGAAGAGTTGAATTTGGTGGTGAGGTGAAGATTATTTCTTATGTTTTTTTTTTTAGAGAAACACAACAAGAAGGACGATTCTTTCTTGCAAATCGTGACCAAGAAGGACGATTCCTTCTTGCAAACTCAAGTTAGGCTTCACAGATTTTTAATTTTGTTTCGCTGTTGTGTTTTTTGTGTGTGGGTATTTTGTATGATTGTATATGTTTGGAGCTTTTTTTATTTTTAATAAAAGTCTTGTTATTAGTTGTTGAGTATATTTGAATTTGTTTTATTAATTGGGTATTAGACTATTAGACATAATGAATGTGAACCATGTTTTATTTTGTTTCTCTGTTTTGATGTGTTTTGTATCTTTGTATGATTTTATCTATATTTGGTTTTTTATTTTTAATAAAAGTCTTGTTTCTCTGTCTTGAAATATTGAGAATTAATTCTTATTTTAATTGCCGTGTCCTAGCCGTGTCCGTGTCCTACTTTTTTGAGATTTTCCGTATCACCGTGTCACCGTGTCGCGTTCCCGTGTCCCCGTATCCGTGTCCATGCAACATAGGTTGGTACTTCCCCCCATGTTGGTCGAATTGGTTTGCCAAACAACTTTCCTCGTTACTACTACGGATCGTTGGCTCTCTAGCTTGATGACCATGCCAGGTTTGTCAAAACAGGGCAGTGATTGGACAATGTCACTGGTTTCTGTGGGAATGAATCATTCTTAATCCCCACCATGGCCACCATGGTGGGAGAAAAATATTGTACTAGGCTTTGGAATTGACTGTAGTTTATTTTTCTCTGTTTTGGTTTTGCTGATGTAGGTGCTTTGCATCTTTCTCGTTTGCACTTCGAATGAATTTCAAGAATGATTACGACCAAAAAAAACATCTACAATGCCAGCAAGATATTTCCCAGATAAAAAGAAGATACCTTTTTCCAACTCAGTTTTTATATAAATAATTTAATGTCTACAATACCCGACCAGAATCCGTAATTTGTCCCAGTCGATTAAAAAACACAAGTGGCCAAATCGCAATAGGAATTTAAATATTGTCCTCTCCTTGTCCTTACTGATAGAAATACAATACACAAATTAAATCAAATAATTGATACAGAATACTAGAAATCAAATAATTGATGGACCACAGCACTACTTATTATTTTGTACATTATTGCTTGTGCTGTGTGTCGGCACTCGGCATGGCCACCACGACATTGTAATTGTCATACGACTTAACCCTTTTTTTAATTATACTTTTTTTTCTTTCGATAAAAGCTTTTCATTTGTGCGTTCAACATGGTGTTCTAATGTTATAGATTTTCACATTATTCCAATTTTTTAATAAAAATATAGAAGCACGATACTTCATATGTAAAGATAAATATTCTTAATCACTCGAGTTATAAATATCTTGCGTATTCTATTTTCAAGTTGAAGCAATAACTTTTTCTATGTATATTCTATAAGAAGTTTTATTTTATTGATTTAGAATTTAGTTGACGTAGCGTAACTGTGGATTGGCATATCCAGCAAAGTTTCATATTCCATGACGTGAATTTTGTACTTTTGGAATTGTTGTCAAATAAAGGAAGAATCATTTCATAAGTTTCCTCTAATTTTATTTTTTCCGTTGTAGGGTTGATAATTAATGTCGATAATTCCAAATTAATTTTGTCCGTAGTTGGCTTAGCATTACAAGTAAGATTTTAAAAAAGAAACCCAAAACCTAAAACCCATTTCAAAATTCAAAATTTGTTTTTTTGTAAAAAGAGAAAATTCATCTTTCATCTTATGAAATGTGTGTGGGAAATTACAAAATTTTGGAACCAACAAGTGTCAAGGAGCGAGATTGAAATTTCATAAACCCTAGGGATACGTGCAGCCTCCTCCTGCCGCCACCCACCAGGCGCCATTGATGATCTTCCCTCCATTTCTATCCACAATTTAAATCTGAGTCTTTCCCTCTCTCTATACTCTGTCACTGGCTCATCGCATTTAATTCCTATGAAGCTCTGATGGAGAAGAAAGACGATCGCTTCTTTAAAACCCTCATTCTCTCCCCTTTCCGTTACACCAAGACCCGCCACATCCGCATCGCCGATATTCTCGTTGATGAAGAAGAGGGATCCGAAACCGACGGCTACGATTGCGTCGGAGACTTCAATATGGATGGCATCGGAGACCTCCCGAAGGACGACAGATTGATGGCTCTACAGTGCTCCACCCCGCGCCGTATCATTTCCCGATGGCTGTCGTCTCTGAGACGATCCAAGAGAAGGCGAAGCGACGTCGTACGGAGCCAGAAGATATTCAAAGAGGTCGCGAGAAGGGAAACCGGTGACGAGTCAACGCACGCCACCTGTTCGACGCATGGATTGAAGCAGTCAGGTTAAAACAAAATTGAAATTCTCTAAATTATTGTTATTAATTTATTTTTACGTTTTGGTTTATATTAATTACAAAGTTGATCCTCTCCTTCTGATGAATCCAGGACAGTTTGTAGAAGATAACGGCTCATTCAATTTGGGCGTTGCGTGCGGTTTGATATATCTGATTGTCACCAGTAAAAATGAGCTTACAAAGATGGTGGAGCTGCGGACACAAATGGAGCTGCTTCTTCAAAACGCAAAAGAGGGATTGCAAAGCAAGAACGCGCCTTTTGACGCCAAACCGTTGGAGTTGAATGAGGTGAATATTGCTTCTTCCACCACTGATTTCCATCAAGCTTCGAGCTCGAGCTCCGATAGCCAGTTTTCGCTTCAATCTGGTGTTGTCCGTGACGTGTGCTCGGAATATATTAGAAATGAAGAAGGAGAAGGAGAGAGAGATGAATGCGTGGCAGGAATGGATCAACTTGAGGCGGAGCTTGAAGCCGAGTTGGAACGGTTGCAGCTCCAATTGGATTTGGAAAATGATTCATCCAATTCTGAATACCCTCAGCAGAGGCTAAAGGTAAACACTTTTAGTTTTCAGACTGATTTAGTTCAATTATACTAATGGTTTTGATTAATTAATCTTCTGAAATTAATGTTTGAATGTTATAAATGGCAGGCTTCTAGAGACTGTGCTATTGTAATTGACTGTGATGAAGCAGAACCGCCAGATTATGCTGAAATGCCCTGTGACTATGGAGTACCTGCACTTGAACTTGAGAGGAGGTTGCATCAAGTGTTGGAAGCGAGACAGGAAGAACGGATAAAAGAACTTGAAGTTGCTTTAGAGTACGCGAAGCGCAAGCTTCACGAGAAAGAAATAGAGGTTTCATGGTGGAAAGAAACTGCAACTGCAGCACGTGTATCACACCATGTTCCAGATCCTTCAGCGTCGATCGCTTCCCAGCACGATCCCGAAAGTACTTTTCACTCGTTTAGGTGAGCACCAAACTGTACAGTGGCTTTTGAGTTTTGAGAGTGATGATTTCTCCAAGTTACCACTCAATATGCATGCTTGTATTATAGGCTATACAAAACTACCAACTGGGTTCAGATTTTCTTTTATTGTGAAGTGTTATATAGGTTGGTTTTACTTTTACATGTTGTGTGCATCTTTATTCTCAACTGTTTGATTTGGAAAATTGTATAATGGGTCACATTGTTTTGGGAGATTGACATTGTTGAACTGTTTAGTCAGAGAACTTTTTTTTTTAGTATGGATGATTTGCAGGTTGTGTAGATAAAAAATATTGTTGGATTAAAGCAAGCATATGATTATGGGTTTTTTAAGTGTATGATTCCTAATCTTTTTGTACTTTTTTTTTTTTTTTTAATGATTGAACTTTTCTGTTTTGATTCAGATTCAGAATGCATTATGATAATTCTGTCATTATAAATTAAATTTTTTTTAGAAACCGGTGTGATTGTTCTCTTCAGCCATCCAAATCCTCTAATTAGAAGACTAATTAAGGGCTTAGATTTGATCAGTTGCACAAAGCCCAACTTTGGGTAACTGCGCGGCATGAAATTGTGATAATAAGAAGGGACTGATGGGCCTAACTGGAGTTGGGCTTCATAAATGTAACTTATGTTTATGCAAACTTGGTTGCAAAAGAAAGCATACCGGTTAATCCATTCCTTGAAAAGCTTGTTTTTTTAAGGTTTATTTAATAAGATAACCACGAGGTGTAAGGATATCAGGACCGTCAAAAGTGGATATGATGTCGAACATCAGCAATCCGAGGGGTGATTCCTTCTATTTAACTATATTTTCTTTAATTGTTGTTTAGTAAAATAACCATGATCTAGATATCTCTATTGATATGAATTTGATTTATTGTTATTTTAAATATATATCTCCTGGGTTCTATAAATTTTTGTCTTCTTTAACCCCTGAAGCTTGAAGCTTTGTTGAATGGTGGAATTGGGTACTGTCTGTGATTTCCTGCCATCTGCTTCTAATTGTTTTGTTGAAACAGGTAGTTGAGGTTTCAACTTCCAAAACCGGTAAGCATGGACATGCTGCCAAGTGTCACTTTGTGGGCATTGATATCTTCATTTCCAAGAAACTTGAGGTGAACGATAACCCGGGACACCGGATAAACCAATTTTACTCTGTTCCCATATTAATTTTTTTTTACCTTATTATCTGTATATAATGTCAGTAAAATTTTGATCAGTTATTGGAATTGTTTTTGTCATGCATCTCAAGGACCTCGTTGTGACAGTTACGGCATCCACGGGAGAAGAACAGATTTGTGCTCTCAAGGACATTGGCCCGAATAATTAAGTTTCGGTTTCATGCCTCTTCTCTACTTGCTCTACATTAGTAACATCTGCCCTCCATTTTAGCAGTAGCTGCAGCCTGCAGGTCATGTAATTGGAAGTCGAGGACATCATGATGTTGGGCTTTTGACACAATTAGAGTACGTCTAATGTTGTGTTTGTTTATTTATAACTAATTGATTTATTATTTTGTTTTGTTTTGGGTTTTGGGGTTGATGATAGGGGCGGTGGGAATCTGGGACTTGGTGGTCATGCATCCTAATTTTGTATTGAGAGGCGAGCTAAAATACTTTTCCGTTATATTACTCCATTCTTTCTTTCTCCTCTTTTGATAAGTGACATGAGAAGAGATACAGAATTAGGTGGGAGTATGAAAGGTTTCTCCCATTTCTTCGTGGTTTTCATTTTTAGGCACACCCTCAAAATGGGTAGAGACACCAAACGTTATACACCAATTGTAATTGATGCCTTATACAATGTGAAATGTTCTTTGTTTCACATCTCAGATCTTAGTTTCACATTGCAGAATCTTAGGTGCTGGAAGTAAATGGATATAAAATGAGACTTAGCATAAACAAACAAACGTGTTTATTACACCCCTTCTGTACTATTTGATATTTAAAAATGCTTGAGATTTTGCTCCACCAGAATAAAATAAAAATGAGATTTTTCTTTGGGTCTCTGTAATATTTTGTTTATTTATGGAGGAACAGTAACGGAGGATTTTCCTCTAGAAGGTTCTCCTCTTCATTTTTTACTCAAGACTTTTCGTTGACACTACTTTTGCTACGAATTCCTCATTAGTCATTCAAGCACATGGCCCATGTCTAACGGTCTATCACATTTCCGGCGGTTAAAATTAGGTGAACCGCGTGATCTGAGGGTGGGTCCCGTTTACCGTCTGCTGCGAAAGGCCGCCATACAATCACATCACGACACGTTATACTAGATTCGCACGCTGAGCTTACAGAAGGAAGCAGTAGACCCGCGTTACCGTGTGAGCACCGAGCGGGCCCACCCTCCCTCGTTTTTTTCTGTTTTTCTGGCCGTTAAAAAGCCCACCACAATCAGCTCCCTTTCACCAATCAAGCAATAAGCAAAGTTTCCAATTTCTGAAAGGTTCATTTTTTTCGCTTTCTTTCTGGTATTTCTCACTTTCAGTTTGGTTGACGAGAAAATCCCTGAGAAAATACAAAAGGGTACAACTTTATACATCACATCCCAATCCCAATCCCAATCCCAATCCCAAGTTGCTTTGCTTTTACTGGACAATTCTTTCAATTCATTAAAATGGCAGCTGAAGCAAACTCCAACAGTGATAATTTGACGCTTGACAAAGTGAGAGAGGCATTGATCAGACAAGAAGACACCATTGTTTTCAGGCTGATACAGAGAGCCAACTTCCCCGTCAATTCTCCCACCTACGATGAAAAGTTTGCATCTTTTTCTGGTTCTCTGCTCCAATTCGTGGTTAAGGAAACAGAAGCCCTTCAATCCAAGGTAAATTACTGTTTCATTACAAATGGACAATCAATCATCTCTCTCTCCTCTCTCCCTCGGTTTCTTCATTTTCATCTGGAATGTTTGTCTGTTTCCTGTTTTGTCATTTGGAAAAATCCAAGATGGGATTGATTGTCTTTGTGATTAACAATGTCTCTTAATCGACCTGTTTTATATGTTGCACTTGCAGGTTGGTAGGTATGAAAACCCTGAAGAACAACCCTTTTTCCCAGAAAACTTACCACCTTCATTGGTGCCGCCTCAGGCCAATCCACCAGTAATTAATTCTATATACCCACAAAAGTTTAAGTTTTTCCTTTTAGATATTTTACTGGAAAATTGAAACTTTAATTTTTTTTCCTTATAGGTATTGCATCCTGCTGCAGCTTCCATTAACATAAACGAGAAGATATGGGATTTTTATTTCAACCAATTGCTTCCACTTTTTGCTGTCCCTGGTGATGATGGAAACTATGCATCAACTGCCTCTAGTGATCTTGACTGTTTACAGGTAAAGGTTAACCTTAATCATTTTTTTGTGTAAGACTATAATGTTAGTGGGGTAGTAGGTAGAGAGTTTATGCTATTAATATTTAATTTGTAAAGTGATGTTCATATGTTAATCATATATTTTAATTCTATTAAGGTTTGTTTAGGAATGCATCTAGGAGACCAGGTGGAAGTAACAATAAGTGTTTCAAATTTTCAATTCAGATAAAGATCAAGTGATGCCATGAACAATGGCCTAAACTAATAATAATCATACTTGTCTGTACACTGATTGTCTTCCACCTGCAGGCCATCTCTAGAAGGATTCATTATGGATACTATGTAGCTGAGGTTAAATTCAAGGATGCCCCTCAAGACTACGAGCCTGCGATTCGCGCTCAGGTACTTGCATCATAGAGTAATTATTAAACCTTATAGCAAAAGGGGTTAGTTGGTTTGTTGATTATAATTTAACAAGTAGGGTATTGATCATCTTTTTATACAATATCATTTTCCCAAAGTTTGTAATTCCATTAGAATGGAGTTTGTTTGAACAGAAAGTTAAATGTAATTAGGCTGATGCAGCAGTACTGTACTGGGTTGTTGATCTTTTCAGGACAGAGAGGGTCTTATGAAATTGTTGACTTTTGAGGCTGTAGAAGAGATGGTGAAGAAGAGAGTTGAGAAGAAGGCAGCGGTTTTCGGACAGGACGTGTGCCTGGTTGATAATGGAAATGGGAAATGCAAGGTTGATCCGTCTGTGGTTTCTCGGCTCTATGGAGAATGGATAATGCCCCTCACCAAGCTTGTTCAAGTGGAGTACCTACTTCGCCGCCTAGACTAGATTCAAGTCTTCCTAAATTTTTTGTATTCCCAATTCATGTGATGATTTGAAGGTTCAGATTTGAACTGTCTATTATTTAGAAGATCATTCAGCCTTGTTCTTGATGGCATGACCAGATAATAATACCAAGTTCTTGATGTTCTTGTATGTTTGGAGAGACCTATTTACAACTTACTGAATTCCAGTGGGAATCTCAATCGACCTGCAGATAACAATATCACATCAATTAATAAAAAAAGACTATGACAATTCATGCCTACACAAAATTAGGACTGAGTTATGCTAGAATAAGTGGAGTGGCCTATATACACGTGATGACTGAGTACGTATCAACGATTCACAATCACCCACACGTGTGTAGGGTAGGGACTGATGTTAGCATTGCTCTTCAAATAAATATGGGTTTGTCTAGGCATTCACTAGGGTACGCAACCAGAGGTACATGATGCTACTAGGATTAGTGATGAAGCCACTTTCTTTTATAAACAAGGAGAGATTATTGTTGTGATGACTTTTTCTTCTTTACTACAACTAGTAATTTTCAAACCTTAATGTATAGTTTAAGTGCTAAACCCAATTTTTTATTTTTTATTTTTTTTCTGTTAGACAAGACTTTCTTTTATAAACAAGGAGAGATTATTGTTGTGATGACTTTTTCTTCTTTACTACAACTAGTAATTTTCAAACCTTAATTTTAAGTGCTAAACCCAATTTTTTATTTTTTATTTTTTTTTCTGTTAGACAAATGCTAACCCTTTTACATACACCTAATCCCCATACATTCCCATCACTTAATTTTCCAAACACAAAAAAGGGAAAAGGTTCATTCTAAATCTGTCCAAAGGGACTCCCTGAACCGAACCGTTTTAATATAAGTATTTTCTTAATACGAAAATTATTTATGAGGTCAGCTATAGCCTATCTATCAGACCATGGTCAACGACCCAACAATTGGGTCGGGTCAAGGTGGCTCATTTTGTATGGGCTGTTTTTATAAGCCCAAAATAGGGATGAAGTTGGTTCCTTAATTGCTCACATCCGAGAAACGTTACAATCCAAGAAGAGGTCTTCTACTTCTCATACAAAGGACAACACAACAGAGGGAGAGAGAGAGAGAGCGGAGACCCATTTTCTTGCTCAACGCAGTGAGAGTGAGTGAGAGAGCGAAGAAAATCCGAGAATCTCACTTGCATTGTTTGTAAACCCTAATAATCGGAGAGTTCATCGCCAACATTTTTACAGTCAGGGGTTTAGGGTTCTAAACACACTCTGATCAAGCTCACTGTAAGCTCACTGTATGTACTTATCTATCTCTCTATTTATGCATTTTCTTCTCTCCATGTGTTTCTGTTAAGAATAAAGTTTCTTAATGATAAATTTTGATCTTTCCTTTTTAATTTTAAAATAAAATAAAATTCTGGAGGTATTCTCTTTCTTAATGTGTTTGTTTGTTTAGCTTGGGGTTTTAGCATGGATGAGATTTTTTTAAAAAAATCTGACTTGTCTCTGAAATAGGTGCTTGGTAAAGTTGTTAAACAAAGTATTACTTTCCCTTCACCAGTGTCGTGGAAAAGGGAAAGAGTAGTGCAAAGCAAACCGAAAATCCCTAATAATGTTCTTGTTTTTCTTCATAATGTACTTTGTTTAACATAAACAAATTTTATAAGATAGGAGGAGGCCGTCATTTGCTTTGCATGGATAAGTTGCCGCAGATGGGTTTATGGGTTTTATGGGAATATGTAATATTCCAGAATGAATGAGAGTTGAGTTTGAATACTGAAGCACTTAAATAAGGTGTAAATGAATATGCACGTTTAACATTGTTGGTGGTGTTTTTCCAACTTCAAGTGGGAAATGCCACTAAGTAACATAATGACTCGTATGGAAAGTACGACATGTATAAGATGCACTGTTATACATATTTCTTTTTCTTTTTTTTGGAAATAAATTTGGTAACCGGTAAGTACATAATTAATATATGCAGAACTGGAATATACTATTCAATGTTTTTGAACAACGAAATTGGATAGTAGAAGAAGATAGCTCATATCTAACATGTATGTGTTAAGGTTCACATTTTGAGTTTTAGAAGTTAGGTTTTGTATGCGGTCTTCAAAAAGTTGCTTTTCCTTCCTTTTCTATGTTGTTTTTGCTGTATTCTTATTGAAATAAGTGCTATTGTTGTTTGGGTTCAAGAGATTTGAACTTCATTCTTATTTTCTTTTCCAATTGGTTTCATAACTGGATTGCTAATTTGATATTATATATGTTGTTCAGCTTCTTTTCCTTCACTCTCCTAAAAGTCTTGAATCCAATGGGGGCGTCATCGGATGCCAAGGGAGATATTGGTATGAGCAGCAAGGGAGAAAGCTTTTCAGATATAGCTGACATGGATATTGATGATAATGGATATGATGATGATTACGATTATTCGATTAGCATACATGACCTAGGGCAAGGGTTTCTGAAGAATTTTTGTAAGGAAGCTGCAATAGCTTTCTTCAACGAATATGGCCTCATTAGTCATCAAATCAACTCATACAATGACTTCATCAATAATGGTATACAAAGGGTCTTTGATTCTTTTGGTGAGATTATAGTTGAGCCTGGGTATGATCCATCAAAGAAGGGAGAGAGTGAGTGGCGATATGCTTCTGTGAAGTTTGGCAAGGTTACCCTTGGTATGCCAAGCTTTTGGGGTGGTTCAGATGATGAAAAGGAGTATAAAATGTTACCTAGGCATGCTCGGCTTCAAAACATGTCATATGCATCCAAGATGAAAGTGAACATTACTGTTGAGGTAAATGAATTTGATAACTTTTTCAGTAAAATGCATGAAATTTTACTTGACCTTATCTGGAATCTGGTTAGGTTGTTAGTGTTAAATTAGTGCAGTTTCTATGTTGACAGCCAAGTTTGAAATAATGATCTGAAAATATTTCTTTTTATTTCCCAACTTCATAACATCTACTAATGTATGGTTATTTGTAATCTGCCAGGTATATACTCAAAAGCTTGTGAGTAGTGATAAGTTTAAGACTGGAAAAGCACAGTATCTTGATAAGCAAATTCTGAGTACAGACACCAGAGACATTATAATTGGTAGTGTCCCTGTGATGGTGAAGTCTGACTTGTGTTGGATGAAGGACTTCGAGAAAGGAGACTGTGATTTTGACCATGGAGGCTATTTCATAATCAAGGGTGCGGAGAAGGTGAGCCCAAAACTTACTTTAAGATAATTCATTATTTATGATGGGAAATGTAAGTTTCAGATGATTTGTTTAAAATGTCAGTTTATTACTTTTCTAGTTTTCTGTTTGTTCTTTGTTATTTGGTGCCTTTAAACTGTTCAAGTGGACTCTGCTATGCAATGTATTATATCTAGTTAAACACAGTTATAGTGACATCTGTGCGATGTATAATGCAGACATTTATTGCACAAGAACAGAGCTGTCTGAAGAGACTTCTTATCACAAATAATCAGGGATTGACAGTAGCATACAGGTCAGAGGTTAAGAGGCATAGGCTAATAATTAGGCTAGTCGGGATTTCCAAATTAGAAAACATTGAAGGAGTAGAGAAAGTCCTTACTGTTTATTTCATGTCGACGGAAATCCCTGTGTGGATATGGTTTTTTGCCCTTGGTGTTTCATCAGACAGAGAGGTGATGAATCTGATTGATTATGATAGTGAAGATGCCAGCATCTCGAACATACTCTTTGCCTCTATTCGCGATGCGGATAAATTAAATGATAAAGGAGATGGGGGGTTCCGTAGGGGGAAGAATGCCATCAAATATGTGGATGAGGTGATAAGGAAAACCGCATTTCCTCCTGGGGAAAGTATGGAAGAATGCATTAGCCTGTATCTGTTCCCCAATCTGAAAGGCCTAAAGCAAAAGGCTCGCTTTCTTGGGTATATGGTAAAGTCTCTATTACAGGCCTATGCTGGCCGCAGGAAATGTGACAATAGGGATGACTTTAGGAACAAGAGGTTGGACTTGGCTGGTGAGCTTCTAGAGCGAGAACTCAAGGCACATATTGGACATGCACGGAGGCGCATGGCAAAGGCCTTGCAGAGAGACCTTTATGGTGATCGTGCTGTGCGGCCGATTGAGCACTATCTAGATGCTTCTATAGTGACTAATGGTATTTCCAGAGCATTCTCAACCGGAGCGTGGTGTCATCCCTTCAAGAGGATGGAGAGGATGTCTGGTGTAGTTGCAACAGTTGGGCGAGCAAATCCACTGCAGACAATGGTGGATATGAGGAAGACAAGGCAGCAGGTTCAATATACAGGGAAGGTTGGAGATGCCAGATACCCGTGAGTAACTTTCAACTTATTTCAACTGGTTTTACTATTTTGTTTTTGTTCTGGAGATATTTTGGAAAATTGTAATTGTGGCTAATAGAACCTTGTGGATGCAGGCATCCTTCTCACTGGGGTAAGGTTTGCTTTCTCTCAACCCCGGATGGTGAGAATTGTGGACTTGTAAAAAATTTGGCTACCACTGGACTAGTTAGTACAAATGTACTGGAATCTCTGATACCCCAATTATTAACATGTGGCATGGAGAAATTGGTGGATGATACTTTTACATCACTGCGTGGGAAGGATAAAGTTTTTCTGAACGGGGACTGGGTTGGAGTTTGTGAAGATTCCCTCTCATTTGTTTTGGAACTAAGGAGGATGCGTCGCAGGAAAAAGTTGCCACATCAGGTTTTCTCTTGTTCAATCCCATTGATAAGTTTCAAATTTCAAATTGCTTTGGTTTTGCTATAATGCCCATAAGTTCTTTGTGCTTCAGTTTAGGCAGGCAAATTGAATTACGATGTATAAAGATGACTTTCCGTGGATAGTCTTATACCACAGCATTAGGAGCATTGTTTATGAAACTATTTCGTATTTTAGTATAACCTATTTCTGTTACTTCATCTCTTCAATTACTAGGGTATACATCATGAATTATATGATTTGATTCCCAAGAAGCTAGCCAGTGCTGGATGCATCGTGAATTATAATTCCTGTTAAAAGAAACTTCCGTCTTTTAACTAGGGATTATAAATTTGCTGTTTATTCACTTATCAGTAGTTAGAGTAAATTTATTTACCTGCCATTTATACCATGATTTATCTTTAGTAGTTAGC